TGCTACTCAATTGATATCCCTACGAGAGGAGCGAGGCTCTACCTGGGTAAACAACAACAACAACCACGACAACAACCACCACAACAACAACAACCACAACAACAACCACCACAACAACAACAACAACCACGATGTGAACTTTTCACCTCGGATCTCAGTGAGCGCGCGCGCGGTGCAGCAGCTTCCGGATATATCGTGACGTCACGCGGCAGCAGGAGGTGACATGACGTCACTTGCGGGGTTCACCACACAATCCCCTCCCCCAACAAGCAGCGGTGTAATTGAATAAATTATGTTAATGAGACGGGCCCACGTGGGGTGATTGGGCTTGGCTGCTGAACCCGTCGCAATGAAATAGCGACGGTTTTCATGAATAAATTATGTTAATGAACCGCCAGTCAAAAGCGCTGTGGAGGGGGGGGGGATTGAATATCTTGGTGACATGACGTCACTAGCGGGGAAAAACTTTCCCTGGCGTCTCACGCCGACGAGTTAATGAGCGGTGACGTCACTGTGTGTGTGTGTACACACTGTGTGTGTGTACAAACTGTGTGTGTGTACAAACTGTGTGTGTGTACCCTGTGCGTGTGTACCCTGTGCGTGTACACTGTGTGTGTACAAACTGTGTGTGTGTACACTGTGTGTGTACAAACTGTGTGTGTGTACACTGTGTGTGTGTACACAAACTGTGTGTGTACACTGTGTGTGTGTACCCTGTGCGTGTACACTGTGTGTGTGTACACTGTGTGTGTGTACCCTGTGCGTGTACACTGTGTGTGTAAAAACTGTGTGCGTGTGTGTACACTGTGTGTTGGCACAGTCGGGGGTACAGATGGTGCATCGGCCAGTCAACTGAGTCAGTCGACCCATGGCACCTGGGTCTACCCCGTGCACATAGCCTGGCACAAGCGCCATGGTGACGTGACCGCCACTTAGTGGCGAATGGCGGTTGTTGTTATTGTTACTGTGTGTCCGGCAAAACAAGAGATGGCACCTCAGCCAGCCATCTCATTGAGTAGCCATTACCAGATCATCAGCAGATGCAACAGGGCTGACCAGCAGGGAAACAGGTCCCTGCGGGGTGGGCTGGTAGGAACGAACAAATGAATGGCTATAATAAAATGAAATGGCGGGGGTACGATACGAAGGGAGAGTTTGAGGCCTAGTTCTAGGCTTTAGGCCTAGCTGTAGGCTTTAGGCCGCTGTGAGTTAATTTTAAACTATCTCAGGTAATTATAAGGGAATGTTACACTTGTTTAGCCAGGAAAGCCTCACTGAGTCTAAAGGTTTTTGTAGGGTCCTGCCAAGTGTTTGCAGTAGGGGGCGATGTTGCTACACGTAATCGGACGGAGGGACGATATAATCTATTGTAGGCTGGTTCACTTCGTTCCTACCAGTATAATCCCTTAACTATAACCAGTCATCGATAAGCATATTATTTTTAACCGCGACGAATGCAATTTATTTATACGGCCATTGTGAGCTCCTCAAACTACATAATTATTGAACATGCTATGTAATGTGTAATAAACCCCGTTGAGACGTCGTCAATTGAGAATTCTTTATTCAGTTTCGTTCACAGCTTCCACCACATTCGTTCCTCCAGTTCCCTTGCTCCTTCACGCTGTTGGCTGACAGCGTGAGAGAGAGACTGCGGCGGCCCGCCACGTGGCAGGCTCCGGACCACGGCACCAGCCACGTGGCTTCTCCGCTCCTTTAAATCCCTGGCCCACGTGATGCCCCGCAGTCAATCCTCAGCCACACCCCTGGAACTTTCCCGAAGCTAATGTACGGCTCCAGGGCCACGCCCCTAACTCGACTCCCCATTAGTTGCGGGCTGAGGCCGGCAGAGCCCATCATTATTATCCAGGTGTAACCTCACATTACAAATGTAATGCATTGGGCCAAAGTGAATTTCTGTCACAAGCCGAGTTGAACAGGAAATGGTTCCAACTCCTGGTCACGCAGCTTTAGATGGGCCTGCCCAAAATCATAAAAATCCTCAACGAATGTGAGCAGAGGCAGAGACATCGAAATCAAGGAACCCAAAGCACCAAGCCTATTTAGGGTACCATAGGCCTGCTGTACTCGATCGACAGAAAATACAGCCGCCCCTTGAATATCGTAGGTTACGTTCTTGGAAAATGCCACGCGACAGCTAAAAACGCGATATTCAATACTTAACCCTTACCCAAGTAATGGCGTTAGGTAAACGTCAACTAAAATTTACATCACAATTGAAATACGTACTGTATTCCAAATCAACTAAAAATTAAACTATTGAAATAAACATTGGGAAACCGTGTCTCATGCTTTTGGTTACAGGCCTACCCAACACTTATGGTCACACATGCTGTCTGCTTCTACTCGACCTTGTCCGAAAAGTCCTCCCAAAACTCCACATCCACAAATGGATGTGATTTGTCTCGGGCTCCATTAGTGACCTGGAAGTCAAACCCTAGAGCCTTCACAGGTCACCTTCACGAATGGTGACGTTTCCCAGCTGCCCTCTTTATTGGGTCCTTGCATCACAAACGATCGGCTTATGGAACTTCAAATTTCACACGTCAATCTCAGACTCTGCTCCTTGAAGACCTCCTTACACGTGTTTCAGTTTCAAGACAATTCAAAAGGCCTTCCAATTGTACATTAAGTGGTTTTTAATGTGTGTTCCCTGGCAGTTGTGAAGATTTGATTACTGTGTAAATGCATTCCAAGACAGTGCAGTCGTTAGATTCCGTGGAGACGAGTTCTGCTCTTGGTGACATCACAAGCCAGAGAGAGGGGGAGGCCCTGACGTAACCCACTCGTTAATTTGAGGTGACGTCTTCAGAGGGAGCGTCTACATATTTAAGTAAACATGTGGTAAACAAGGTGGGATATCAATGCAGATAGATATATCTAAAGTTTTATTTAAATAGAAGTTAAAATTCAATAAAACCTAGGCTAGAATACAAATCTGTAACAAAAATCCACGATGCCTTCAAATGTGCTCTTTAAAGTACCTCCTTGCGAAAAAACAGATCGGCAGACATCTTTCATTCAACGTTCTCTACACGAAACAAAGGAATGTTTTACACAAACTATAAATACCACGGACTTTTAGGAATGCATGTGTAATGGGTTCCGGAGACACTTGTAGAGGTATCTTCTTTATTACAATAAAACACTCCAACAGTCCTGATACTCTGTTACAGCCTAGGTACACAGCCTAGATACACTACTCTGGCTACGCTCTGGGGTCCTCCGGCTGCAATTACCCTAGGGGAGGCTAATTGACCCGACCCAGCCAAGGTGCGGGTCTGGAATCTGGCTTCCTCTGAACTCGCCCTTACAAGGACGTAGAGCCGGGAGTCCCAGAGTCCCACCACTGGCCCTCACAGCGTCCCGGCCCTTACAAGGACAAGCGGGATGGAGGGGGTCCACGGTCCTAAGCTGGCTGGTCTTGGGTCTTGAGCTGCAACTGGCCCCGATCGTCCAGGGAGCTGCCCTTTTATGCCTCGTCCCCAACGAGGGGTGGGGTTGTGTGCGACCCCAGATACCCCATGGAGCACGCACAGCCCCCCCGTTGGTGGCGCCAAGGGGCTTAACTGTTTGGGGTGCCTGGGATCCTAGCGCCTGGCGCCGAGGGTTTATCTGCCTAGGATCCCAGAGCCCCCAGCAGCCCCTCCCCTCTTATGGCACTACACATGTGTTCAGTACAAGCCACCTGTGGACTGGTTTGGTGTACAATGTCTCAACAACAGTCCGGCTTGCTTCAACTGATGTTCATCGGCAAGGTCCATTTCATGTCTCAGTTCGACAAAATGTATATGTAATACAAAATGATAATTAGTGTTCTTGAGGAGAATGTATCTCCTATACGTAACTTGTAAGTGGCATACCTTAACTGTTGAATGATCTGACTATGCTCCCGATTTCAAAGACAATGAGTTGCCCCAGTCAGATGCGTCCGGATTCACAAAAATACCCGTTGACCCGTATCACAAAAATAACAGCTCTCACGTGAGTTTTTGTACAGGTTACCACCAAAACAGATACTTTGTCCTGACATCACATATTCCATATTTTACATTAATACACAAAATGTTGTATGTACGTACAAAATCAGACAGGTATTCTTTCAATAATGATTCAAAATAATCAAAGGGCACATTGGCAACATTTTATTACTATACCGAAATGTACTGCGTCACGTTGCAATGTATTTACAAGTTGATCTCTGACTCGATGAGGCCTATACGTGCAGCACTCTCGTAGAGGGAAGCCAAGTAGTAGTACATTCTATATTTGTTGCAGAGGTTCAAGGTTCAAATCCGACTGGCATATTAATCATCGCCCCCGACTTACAAACTCCTATCCACATGCAGGCCAGTGAACGGTCACCTTGTGGCACACAGGGGCAGATGCCCATTATGGGCACCCATCGAGTGTCTAAGATGAGATATGATACAAAACACTTGAGTCACTCCTGGTTAGAGATCGCCCCAACCCACAGGTTCACAAATACTGGCCACTCTTACACTGCAGTTTGAACCTAGAAATTGAGTGTTCAACTTCACATTATATTCATTAGAAAGGCCTGTGACAAAGGTGCATCCATTGGAGCTTAATTGTCTGAAGCTTGCACATCTACCTGGTCTCCATTTGACTTTGTATTGTCTAAGAAGTCCACCCACACCTCCACATCCACAAACTCCTGGGAGTTGCCTCGCTCTCCCTCACAGTCAGAATTTAGTTCCTGCTTCACACTGCCTCCATCTATGTGAAGGTCCGATTTTGGAGTTGAATCATCTTCAAATTTAACCTTCACTTCTACGCTCTTCACTGTTACTTCTTCACATTTCACTTTCGCCTCTTCATATTTCACCTTGATACCTTTCAAAGTGTCCAGGCTGGGATTGTCTTCTGGTTCTTGTTTCATGAACAATGGGGTCATTGCAGCACTTTGACTTTCACAAGCTGATTTCAGATTACACTTCTTGTGGATTTTCTGATGCTTGTGTGTTCTCTGGTGTTTTTTAAGATTTGATGACTGTGCAAACGCTTTCCCACAAACACTGCACTTGAAGAGTTTCTCTCCTGTGTGTGTTCTCTGGTGTCGTCGAAAAGCAGATGAATCTGAAAACGCCTTCTCACACACACTGCACTTGAAGGGGTTATCTCCTGTGTGTGTTCTCTGGTGTTGTCGAAGAGCAGATGAATCTGAAAACGCCTTCTCACACACACTGCACTTGAAGGGTTTATCTCCTGTGTGTATTCTCTGGTGGGTCTGAAGAGTTGATGACTTTGCAAACGCCTTCCCACACAGAGTGCACTTAAAAGGTTTCTCTCCTGTGTGTGTTCTCTGGTGTTTTTTAAGATTTGATGAATGTGCAAACGCTTTCCCACAAACACTGCACTTGAAGAGTTTCTCTACTGTGTGTGTTGTCTGATGTCTTCTAAGAGTAGATGAATCTGAAAATGCCTTCTCACACACAGTGCACTTGAAAGGTTTCTCTCCTGTGTGTCTTCTCTGGTGGTTCTTAAGATGTGATGACTGTGCAAACGCCTTCCCACACAGAGTGCACTTAAAAGGTTTCTCTCCTGTGTGTGTTCTCTGGTGTTGTTTAAGAGAAGATGAATCTGAAAATGCCTTCTCACACACACTGCACTTGCAGAGTTTCTCTCCTGTGTGTGTTCTCTGATGTATTCTAAGAGTAGATGAATTTGAAAATGCCTTCTCACACACACTGCACTTGAAGGGTTTATCTCCCGTGTGTATTCTCTGGTGGATCTTAAGATGTGATGCCTGTGCAAACGCCTTCCCACACAGAGTGCACTTAAAAGGTTTCTCTCCTGTGTGTGTTCTCTGGTGGATCTTAAGATATGATGACAATGCAAACGCCTTCCCACACAGAGTGCACTTAAAAGGTTTCTCTCCTGTGTGTGTTCTCTGGTGTGATTTAAGAATGGATGACCGTGCAAACACCTTTTTACACACACTGCACTTAAAAGGTTTCTCTCCTGTGTGTGTTCTCTGGTGCTGTGTCAAGTTTCCAGTACGATCCATGCTGTTTGCATTCTGGTCGCATTGTTTCCTTCTTGTACCGAGCTGCGCTGAGTGCCTTTGCTCCATCAGACCAACTCTGCAGAGCGAGCATCAGCTGCAGACAGAAAAACATATCCACACCATCTCCGTGAGTATTGAGGCACAGAGGAATGCATATATACAGTCACACATGACTTACACATCTATACATATTCATATTTTCATGAAATAGTGAAAGAGATTCCCTAATTCATCACACGGGCTGCTAAGGCACACAATGAGAGGGCAAATGGTCATAAATATGACTCGACACCCAAGTGTCTTCAAAATGAATATTTACCAAAAACTCCAAGCACACAATTTCGGTTGTCTAGCTATGACAGGAATATTTATTTAAGAAAAATTAGCTAACATAGCAAAGGCTGTTGATACTATTTGTATTATGCAGAAATGTATAAATTAATGTTCATTTGCAACTTAAAGGTCTGAAGCCAGGCTCAGATGAGCTTGAATGCGAGGATGAACAGATCTAACTTAAGCTGCATATGTGCATTGTTAATTTCCTGACTGTTTCCATTCTTATAAAATCTTGTTCTGTACCTGTTGAATTCCATGACGAAATGGGGCCTTGCATATGTTCTACAAAAAGATCACCTCCCTGGGAAAATCTTGACTTAAAACTTTTGTGATAGCGGGAATTCATATTCTTTGGTTATTTCGGTAAAGTCACGTAGATATAAAATAATAATACAAATAAAGTGAATAGAAGAAAAAAAAACGACTAATGTAGACTGTAGCCTGGTTCTAAACCTCGGTGAGCATACTGGCAGTCTATAATGTAGAAAATGTAGCCTGGTTCTTAACCTCAGTGAGTGTATTGGCAGTCTATAATGTAGACTATTGCCTGTTTTATTGACAAGACCTTTGCAATGGACTAGACCTTGGCGATGGACACTCACAGCTTTGTATGCAAAAAAGTCCAGGCAGCTTCCACATAGTGTTACAGAGCCTAATGAAAAAATGCTGCTAGACTAATTTGAAGTGACACTTTGGATGCCAAATAAGGTCATGAACACATTAACCAGGTATAGGAGCTCCTCCACCACGTGTAGAACGACCTGATTATTCATGGAGAGCTGAGCAGGTGCAGTGTTGTATGACATTAAATTCCCAGGGAGGTATTCTTTGGGTCTTTCGGTAAAGTCACGTCACTTAACCGAGAGACCCAAAGAATATGAATTCCTGCAGTTACGAAAACTTTAAGTCAAGATTTTCCCAGGGAGGTGATCTTTTTGTAGAACATATGCAGGGCCCCATTTCGTCATGGAATTCTCCAGGTATAGAACACGATTCTCCAACTCAATATCATTGAGTAGCCATGACCAGATCATCAAAATGCGTAACATGGTTGACCAGCAGGGGACGATCCCTTGACTATAACCAGGCATCGATTAGCGTATCATTGTTACTGTATGAAATGCAATTTTGTATAGGGCCATTGTGAGCTTCTCAAAATACATAATTATACTTAAGCATTACCTAAATAATGGGGTTAGGTAAACGGCAACTAAAATAAACATCACAATTGAAATAAGTACTGTACTGTATTCCAAATAAGGAATCATGTGTGCATTACCCACAATACTTGTGGTCAGAAAGCAAACAAAAACACTCTGCTAGAAAATGCATGGTCTGCTGCTGAGGCAGACCGTTGTAAAAGGTTTGAAATGGGTGTAGCCCAAGGATCATAAGGAAGTGGCCGGGGCTAGTGATGTTAATGTAATAAATTAGCATGTTAATGTGAAATCGAAGAGTAGTGCAATCCAAAGCGGCCTCCCTACAAGACAGAGAAGGAGCGAGGCTCTACCTGGGTAAACAACAACTACCACCACGACAACAATAACCACAATGTGAACTTCTCACTTCAGATCTCAGTGAGCGGACACTAAAATAAATCACGCTTGCTAACACAGAGCGTACGCCTGGGATACACTGCCGAGATCATCGATGACCTCGCCGCCGAGAAAGTTCAGCAGTATCTGACAAGCACAACCTGGTGGCAGCCAGATGCGAACTGCCCATATCCCCCATGTAACACCCTTGCCGAGCACGCGCACGTGTGTGAGAGATTTGCTCGCGAGCGTGCGCAATTCTGACGGCTGGAACAGGAGCACACCATTGCAAGTCTTCTTCCAGAGGAGAAGCTCGCGCGAACGGTGAGGGGGGGGGGACGAGGGAGCCTCCAGGACCCCGTGAGACAATCCCAGGATGGGTGGCAGGGATACAGACCGGCATAGGAGATCACAGGCCATGTAACCCAAGTACGTGAGGAGGTAACCCAAGTATGTGGGGAGGTGACCCAAGTACACCTGAATGTTACCAAGCTGCAGTCTACAGCGGAGATAGTCCAGTCCGAGGTGGGAGGGCTACGCTCCATGGTCGGGGGGCTAACCAGGCGAGTATCTCAATAAGAGGCAGAACTCGAACAAATGCGCACTGGGAGGGTAAGGGGGAGTGGGCAAGGGGCCTCTTATGGAGCCACCGCCCTTCCCCGTACGTGCTATCTATGCGACCAATGGGGGCATCTCGTGAGAGACAGTCCCAAGATCGCCCGCGCGAGAGAAGCACCAGGGTTAAACACCAAGGCCTCCCTAAAGAGGGGACCACAGAGGGGTGCAATCCACGTGGTCCCAACACAAATAAACTGTCATGATAATGGTAACAAATGACCCCCACGCAGATATTGACAACAACACCCCAGAATGCGGCGACTGCGGGTGACTGGCTGCGGGAGCTGGTGGCAGGAATAATGGGGGCCACGTGGCTCGTGGAAGGGCAGGTGAACAGGCGGCAAACCCGGATTCTGCTGGACGCGTGGGGCGGTAATGTCACTCGTGAGTGCAACACATTGCAGCGTGGTCGGGGTTGAAGTGGGCCGCCGACAGGCCCCGGATCGTGCGCTGCACACTGCAAGTGGAAGTGGGATGGGACTGCTGGGGAGGGTCACCCTTAAGGGTCGCCTCGGACACCAGGTGAGTAACCAGGAGTTATACGTGTCGAGCGTGTTATGTCACGAGTGTATTGCTGGTACCGACCGCCTGGAAAAGTTGGGGCTCAACGTGCAGCCCCGCCGGCGATGCGCCACCGTGGAGGGCAGCGGGGAGCGGATTCCTTTCTTGGGACAAGAGCCGGGTTGCCCTCGCTTCGAGCCCGTGGCCGCTATCCTGGCGTCAGCCGTCACCGTCGGCATTGGTGTTCCATTGGGTTTTCCGTTTTTCTCCCAAACCTAAACTCAAAATATATTTGGAGGTGGTCAAACAGTCCAATGCAGGACCCTCCTGAAACATAATCTTTAACTGCTAAGTAAGAAATTAAATTGGAAAACCCTCAAACACAGTACACTATTTTTATTTTACCAGGTGAGGCCATCTGAGCTGCATAGCTCTTTTTCAGAATCGACCTGGACACAAATGATAGCTCAACTTAGTGGGTTAAAATATGGAAATGTATTGCAGCAAAATTCTCAAAATGAATGTTTCTAAAATGTGGAGAAAAATCAATGCCACAACAGGGAGAGAGAGCAAAAATAAAACATGTAAACTGCAATTATAAATGCGTCAGGGTTGGAATCGAACCCACGACATTCTGCATACCATGTGAGGTAGTTGACATCTTGCCACCCTAGTACAATATATCACACACAAACACATTACAGAGAATTCTAGATTTGAAGCTTTCGTGACTGCAAGGATTCATATTCTTAGGTTTTTTCGGTAAAGTCACGTAGGTAAAACATCAAAATTAATGAAAATAAAACAAAAATCACGACGTTTCGGAGGTAACGCAAGTCTCCGTCATCAGGTGGGACCGTCACAGCCGAATTAGCTGCATCAAGTGAGGCAATGATTCAAGATGTAATCCCTTATAAGCAAGTTGAAGGGGTGGGGGAGAGGGGGGGAGCTCATCAGAATGTGGTAGCCAATGAATGGAAACGTATCGAGAGGGAGGGGGGCGGGGCTCAAAGACAGCACGGAGTGCTCAACACATTGGGCAGAGAGGGGGAGGGGAGGCCTGATACACATGATAGACAAAATAACGAAAATGCCCATGTTTATACCAATGCTGGCTGAACAATGAAGAGAGTACTGTTAAAAAATAACTGGGAATGGTAACACTCGGTAAAGTAAAGTAAAATAGTGCCTGTCAGATAAGATGGTCCAAAAAGGTGTAATTAAGTCTTTTTTGCGTGGTTGATAACATCTTTCCAATGATTACTAAGTTTGTACCCATCATCACGGTTGAAATTATGTCTGTTTGTATATTTGTATGGCTTTGTGTACAAACCTTTGATGGTAGCCGGGAGGTTTGCAGAGAACCTTGGTCTCGGAAAAGACAATTTCATGAGAGCCCACCGAGTTGTAGCAATGATCGGCAACGGCAGAAGAATCAGTTCTGCCATGTTTCAGATCTGACTTGTGCTTGCGGACACGATCAGAAACATGACGTTTCGTTTCTCCAATGTAGCAATCACCACAAATGCAACTCAATTTGTAGACTCCAGAATACTGTAAGTCAGGAACAACATCCTTCACAGATGGAATCAGATCACGGATTTTATGCACTGTACTGAATCGGACTTGGATCTTATGTTTGTTTAGAATTTTGGAGATCTTTTTGGTCACGCCTGCTATGTATGGTAACGTGATGGTTTTGGTCGGAGTTTCATGTGGCTGTTTCTGTGTGGTGGGAGAGACAGCTTGGCGGATAGTACGGTCAGAGTATCCGTTCATCCTGAGGGCCCGATGTACATGTCTTAATTCACCGGTCAGGTGGTGTTTGTCAGAAATGCCATGGGCTCTGTGGTATAGCGTTTTGATGAGAGAATTCTTTTGAGATGGGTGGTGGTGGGAATCCGGTTTCAAGTAGGAATCTGTGTGGGTGGCTTTCCTGTAGACAGAATGTCCCAAGGATCCGTCAGGCCTCCTCTC